TTATGGTACACCTTGTCATATTGATTTTTAAGAACTTGTTAGCCATTATCATCGTCATACATTAGCGCCTAACTGTCTAGGGTACTGTTGTAAATACATTGATTAAAATGTCCTTTCTCATGTTACATTTCGGACTTTCCTGTTCGACATGGTTACTGCACTATTTTTCATGGTAATTGCTACCTGCATGAGGGTGTTAGTAAAGTGAATAATGTTGCTGTTTAAACACAAAATCATTTTTCTTTATTGACATTCACAGTAGTGATTCCGCCAATAGAAATTTTATTATAGGCTATTCCACGAATATACGACTGTTTTAGTTTACTGCGACAACGAATATTTTACTGTGCAAGTAGAAGTATGAAGGTCAATTGGTCTAATCATTATTCCAATAAAAAGGGTCTACTAGTATGACATCTAAACTAAAATTATTTCAGTTAAAATCTACAAATAAATACAATGACGTCTATGAAGCCAAATGTGTTCATCAGATATTTGGGTAAGCTTTCCGTGAAATGTAAACACCAAAGAGGCGTGCCGGGTTTCTTTGATATAACACATTTCATTACTTTATTAGGTATTACAAATGTAATAAAAAGAAATATACTATTTTTAATATAAATGAAAAGAAATTGTCAGAACTATGGTTCACAAACCAGAAAAAGGATCTAATATTTCACTTTGTTAGTGATTATGGTTGTGAATCTGATCGTTGATGATAGTTTTAGAAGATTAAGAGAATAAGTGAATAAGTAAGTTTTTTTGTTTTTTTAATATTAATTGAATATTCGACTAAAAAATTTACACTATTTGATCACTTAAGTATTGTTACATTTCGTTTAAATCATATAATTCAAAAACCAACTTGTTTACAATGAAATAATTGAAATGAAAAAATAAACTCCATGATAGTAATTATATACTTCAAAATCTGAATTACAACTGTTTTATAAACTATTAACTTTATATTTATATCATGACTTCATATTTAAATCTAAGGTTTATATCTGTCGTAACAGTATTTTAAAAATGGGGAGAATTTACTATTGTACAATTCAGTACATTGGACCATTTAAATCGACACCTTAAAGTAAATTTAAAACAGTCGTATATTCGTGGAATGGAGTATATTATACAATGATTATAAGCATTATAAACTAAAAAAATCTTATTAAGGTACAAAGTACCCTCCATGCAGATTAAATTTTAGAAGTCAATCATCACATTTCGCTACTCAATAATAAACAATTCAACCGGAACTATATTTAATTAATTTATTATTTATATTTATTATTAATAATTCTTTGACTTGGTCAAATTATTGAGGCAATACTACCACTCTCTCATAGGTGGCAGCATCAGTTTTGACAGATGCCTCAAAAGTTAAAGTATAAATTTGCTTTTATTTAATAATATAGTGTAGATCAGTTTCTAATTATCACCACATAAAATCGCAACAAGCAAACTAGCAACAGAAAAAAATTAAATGTAGACACGTTCAAGAACTCAGCAATGAAACAAGGATACCAAAAAGTTCTGCAACAGAGAAACATATAGCTACTGCAGAGAAGAAATGTAGACAAATAGAAATGATAATAGGAGAAGCACAAGCAACTACAATTTACAATCAGAAGAGGATAAAGAGAGGATATAAGAGATAAAAAGAGGCATTGAGAAAACGAGTAGAAGAAATCGATTAAGACCATCGTCTTAATCCATTGATTGAATCGTACAGTTCGACAGATTTTATATGAGAAAGGCTTTGCAGGGAAACCTGCTGACAAACAGTCTTCTCTGAAGAAGAATTAAACCAGATTTTGAGGTTCCTTAACCAAGATGTTCTTCTTCTTCCTGGACCTCGCTCTTCAAATATTTTTCTTTGCAGGATGGTTTGAAGAAGAGCATATCTGGATTCATTTCGCATAGTATGTACGAAGAATTGTAACTTTCGAGATTTGATGGTAGTCAGTACCTCTTGGTTCTTTTTTCATCATTTTTCTGAGGACCTCCTCATTTGTGACTGGGTCAGATCGTAAGTATTCTCCGATATAGCTACATCAAACTGCTTCAAATTTCAACAAACTGTATTGGCTAGTAAAGGTGCTAACAGGGTGCATATGGCACTCTTTCACTCATACACCATGCAAAGGGTTGCACCATAGCACGGCGAAAATATAACAATCGTGGCATGTGGCAACGGCATTCCGCCACTTATCATTATGAAAGGTCAACAAGTTAAACCAGAATGGTATTGTAATCTTTTAACAGAAACAAAAATTATAATGACCAAGAAAGGAACCATGACAGCAGATGAGTGGTTAGATCACTTATAGAGTGGTTAGATCTGCCGATTCAAAAATCCTGGACTAGGCCTTTTTTGATGCAGCTTCATCTTATTTAGATAGAATTGTAGAAGCTGCAATAAAAAAGATGTAACTCCGTTTTGTCTACCGTCCAACACCACACATGAGCTTCAACCACTCGATAAAGCTGTCTTCAGGAGTTTTGAATCTTACTGGGATGAGGAGGTGTTAAATTTTTGGGTGAACCATAATAACGAACGTACCATCAACTGAGCAAGATTTGGGCAAATATTTACGCCGATTTGGAAAAACGCAATGACGCAAAAATATTTGTTCTGGATTTGAAGCAACTGGAATATAGCCATTCAATCCAAATGCTATTCCAGATGCTGCTTTTGCACCTAGTTGTCTGATACAATGGGAGATTGAAACAATCGCCTAGGATTTTCAAGAAAATCTTATAACCGAAGCAGAAATTCTGGAGAGAAAGAAAACTGACAAAAAGAATACAAATTTCGAAGAACAGCTATCCTACAGCAGTGTAAACAAAAATAATAAAAGCAAAGCATTCTCGAGTAGCGAGAAAAGGAAAATTACCAATAAAAAGGACTGACCAAATTTTTTCAAACTTACAACTTAGATGAAGACAGTGACTCATCTGGCTTTTACACAAGTGGTACAGCTTCCAGCGAGGATAATAGTGATGCAGTTTACACGTCAAATAAATATGATAAAAATAAGGTTGCAAAAATAAGTGTGACAGAGCCACAGTATAAAGAGGTTCCTCTTTATACTGTGACAGAGCCATGTGAATAACTAAATTCAATTTTAGTTCCAATGGTTTGCTGATTACACCGGAGTTAAAAGTGTCAACAAAAAAACGTCGACAGGCCATTAATGCGAAAGCACAAGAAGTTACCAAAGATTTATTTAGAGCACAATTTTATAGCTTAGCAATACCTTAACCAAATTTATAAAAATATTCATGGTACTCTCTCTTGTGTAATGATGATACAGTGGTTGATGTGCGCAAGTGTGTTTGTTGTAATAAGTATATCCACGAGGAATATATAGGATTAACAAAGTACTTCTTCTTCTTCTCGTGCCACTCCTAGCGGAGATTGGAAATCATCATGGCCACTGCGACTTTGTTAGCAGCGCGCCTAAAAAGTTCAATCGAACTACACTTGAACCATTCACGTAGATTACGAAGCCACGATATTTTTCTTCTTCCCACACTTCTTTTGCCCTTAATTTTGCCCTGCATGATGTTTCTAACATTTAACAAAATACGACAAGGATATATTTTTATGTCCTCGATGTGTATAAATGTGCGATATATGCACTTAATGTACTGACAAATTTTTGTTTTTATTATGAATAAAAGTTTGTTTCACTAAACTTTGTATTTATTCTTTAATTCTTGGTTTTAAAATTTATTATCCACGTAAATTTCTTTAAAAAATAAAAGTGGCCTTATTAAGTTACCAGTTCCAAATATGGCCAAATATTCAAGATTTATTCAATGTTAAAATTTTATATTTTTTTATTTATTTATTAAGTATTTTATCGTGAAATTCGATAGTTAAAATGTTAGACAATACGTCGTATTCAAGACTTTTCCCCCCATATTTTTGCTGAATAAAAGATTACAGACATTTAAATCTTAACGTGGCCTTAATTACCGTCCTCACTTTAAGATGTTTAGAACAAAAGTAACGAGCCCATATAATAGAAGAAATCATAATAAATAAATGAGAAAATGGAAAATGTGACTTTTACTTAGACCAAAAAATAACAATTCAATCAATGTGTGTTTTCACTCAATGTTTATTTACAGTGATAACATACGCAGAAAAATCCTGGACACTAAAAAACAAATAGTAAACAAACAAGAAGTTTCCCAAAGATCAATGGAGAGAAAACGGTAGAAGATAGTCTGATATATATAATTAGAAATAAACAACTGAGAGGAAGACTATGTAGGATACCTTGCAAGAATAAAAGAGGCAAAATGGAATCGAAAAATCATAAAATGAAGTCCTTGGAATAGACAAAGAGGAAAAGGGTAAAGTCCATAATGATAGGGTACTGGTTGAGCTTTGTCTTTGAGCTTAGATCTAAGAGTTGCAGCTTCATCTTTGCAAGATGCCCATATTTTATTTTCAACAATCCGATTTAAACTGGCCTGTTTTCAGGTTATTGGAAACTTAGGTCTATTATCCCTGTTTTGAAGTCTGGGTTGAAAAACAATACTCAGAACTACAGACCCATTTATACTATTGGTAACTTTCCTAAACTATTTGAAATTTTTTTTAAACAAAATACAGATTTTTTACACCAATTTTTTCATGTATTTTTATCAATGAGCAGTTTGTTTCTTATTAAATACGTCATTGTCTTAAAAAATTATACGTAATGAGGGTTAATTTTTTTTGTTAAAATTTATTATTTAATGTAGTAATCCAAAATTATACTTTCATAATATCAATTAAACACCTCTCATAAAAGTTAAATGATACCAGTAAGTCGTTAAATTCATAATGAAGACTGAATTTTCCACCCGTCAATCACAATTCCACGAAAAGGTTTTACAAGTAGCCGTTCCTCTTTAAGGATAAGTGTTCCGCCACAAATTATAATTGATGTCATGACTTTAGTAGTTCATCTATTATTCATAAGTTGCTGTAGACCTACCTGACGCTTCATTGTAGTAGACATTGATTCGTTCCAATTGCAAGTCGCTATCTCCTGTGTATATTCCGGTAGGATCGATTCCATGCTCGGCAGAAATTACTTCCCAAAACTGAAAAAAACATATAAAAATTATTAGGTTGTACTTGAAGTGGTTTCTAAGTATCATGTACATTTTATATAACGCAAAAACGTGCAGATCACACTAGCTAAAAATATTCTTCTAACCCTTTGGAGCCTGATTTTTATTAAATTAAAAAAAAACAGGATTTTTGTGAATTTTCATTTATTTTAGTATATTCTAAAAACAAATTCAGTCAAAATAAACAATGCTGGTCCTGAAGTATATTCTGCAGGATGTGTTATTCTCAAATACCAGCAGGAACATGGCGTAACCAAAAATTAAATGAGAAATAAAACCAGGTAGCACTTCTTTCTTTCTATTATTCCTATTGTTTTGCATGTAACATTGCAAAACAATTTTTGTCGTGTTTGAGACAAAGTCCGACATTGCAAGATGAATAATTCCACTGTGTTCTGCTTACATTTGCTGTCGTACTGCAGTTAGCACATCTCGAAGAAGTAGTTCTTTGGGGCATATGAGAAGACTTTGAATGGCGCAGTTCCAAGGGAATATGCCTTTTGAATTCACTCACTGGTTTTTCTGCTGATATAGTTTATTTTTATGAACGAGAGAGTAATTAGCATAATTTTAACTGGTACCCTCCGACCACTCCATGGGCGTGCTCAAGATTAATTGAAAAATTACTTTGAATAATTGTAAAAAATAAATGAATTATTTCAGTGTTACAAAGTGTTATGTGTATGTAAACAAAAGTGACCTCTTTTATCACACACTATATTAGAACTGACTGGCCTACATTAAAAAGGATTTTAAAAAATTCACATTTTTTTTTTAATTTTTAAAAATTACAAAAGAGAAAAAGAGTTTTTAAAACCGTCTAAGGTATGTTAAATAGATGAATAAAAATATTAATATAAAACTTACAGCTACTTGTTACAAATCCAAATCAGATTCAGAAGATGAACTTTCAGAACCAAGATTTATAATAACTGGCTCGATCATTTTATCAGTAATATTGTCCAGCTTCCACATTTTTTCCTCTTCTTTAATAGTGTGATTTACTGCCTTTTCCCAGTTTTCAGGTTTTACATTATTTACGGCCTCCAAAAACAACTGTTTAACATCATAAATTTTAAAACTGGTATTTTTTCTTGAAACTTCACTCTTTATCTGTGCCCATACCAGTTCAATCGGGTTTAATTCACAATGATATGGTGGGGATCTAAGTACTGTCATTCCACGATTTTTGGCAATTTCATCAATTTCGTATTTTTAAAATTTTTCTTTATGAAGGGCACACAACGAATAAAGTTCTTTTCTTATAGATCCGGGATGGTACGTAATATTTTTTGAACTCAGCCAATTCTGCAAGTCTTTTTTTAACCACTTGGTTGTGGGCAGTCCTTCTATAAGTCTGGAGTGATAACTTGCATTATCCATTACTATTACACAGTTCTTAGGAAGAAGATCTATCATTTGTTCGAACCATTCTTGAAAGACATCAGCGTTCATGTCTTCATGGTAGTCACCGGTACGAGGTGATTCAAAAGTTAATAAACCACCTTCAACAAAACCGTCTGAACTGCCAATGTGTACTATTATCAGCCTGCGTCCCTTTCCTGATGGTGGGTTTAAACCAGTAGATAAGTTATTTACAAAAGCGTGCCTTTGACTTGTAAAAGTTTCATCTTGCCAAAATTTATTTGGTGTATGACCCTCGTTGATCCATGTTTCATCAGGATAAAATATTTTTCTTTTTTGGTTTCTCATTTCCTTTATGGTTCTTAGAAACTGTCTTCTCCATATGACAATATCGCTTCTTTCTAATAAAATAGACTTTCTGGGATTCTTTTTCCAGCGGAAGCCTATTTCTTTTAAAAGTTTCCATAACGTACTTCGACTCATTTCTGGGTAATCCTTATCATCTCGAACTGAGACAAGAACTTTATCCAATGTTGGAAATTCTTGTCTAAAGAAGAATTCATGCACTTTCCGTCGAAGTCCTTCTTTAAAATGATATTCTATTTGAAATTTTGGTTTCCCTGGAGCATTACGTGGCATTTGAAAACTACCACATTTCTCTTCTTTAATAACTCTGTAAATCGTAGATTTCCCAACACCAAGTGTACTGCTAACTAACTCAAAGGTCTCATCAACACTTTCACATAAACGTTTGTCTGTAAATGATTTAAAACAATTAAATATTAATGTTTTTTTATTAAAAAAAAAAGAACCAATTTTTCGGCGTTTACACGGCACTTCCAAATTTTCCATAACACTAGTTTATACAATAAACTGCACCTTGCAACTGAAGTACCTACTTTTAGTGAACTGTTAAGAATTTTGAATACGCCACTTGGACCTTCCTACAAAATGGAAAAACCCACTATTACATTTTCTGTGGAATAAGTTTAGAAGGTAATTATCTAGTCAATTACTGTCGTAGATTCCTGGAATTAAAGAATTAAATGTTTGATTGTTGAAACCCTTACTTCGTGGAATGCACTCATTTCAGATAAAATAAAACGTTTTATTTTATCTAAAGAATTAAACTTTATTTTGCAAATAGGTAGGTACTTATTAAACTTTTATTGGTTATATATAACCAATAAAATAAACATCTTACATTTCTTGCAAATTCATTAGTACCTGTTAACCTCCATCACTCCGACACTGGCAACCTTATTTGGGGATTAGTAACCCTCACAACTATTGTATTCTATTCTGCTCCAACCTTTATACCTGGTGGTCATACTCAATTTAAAATTGTTTTCCTATATACTTCTGTAAACTTGTTGACAAATATCTGTTTTCATTGAGTCACCCGTATCAACAGTTTAGGGATTTGCATACATAATTTATTGTTTTATTACTCTCTCATACATAAAAATACACTATTAGTCTTCTCCTATTTAATTAATCTGGAGCCCTACTAAGGCCTCTAATCACAGAGAGCCGGAATTATTTCAAAGACATACTTTTGGATTGGCTTCTAAGTTGGAATAGAATGAATACGTTTTCGACGCAAGCATTCACAAAATAAAAAAATCACAGAAAACAAACACAAAAAACGAATCTATTTCTGCAGTTTTTCTTTCTAGGCAAAGTTGGATATTTTTGTCGAAAAACAACAAACGAAACTGTAAATTTCGCCATAGCTCAGTCAACACTATCGTTATTAAGAAAGTGAAATGAAAATATATCAGATGGAAAAGCTATGAGTCGAAAATAATCTGGCCAATGTGTTTTCCATAAATAAAATGTCACCTGAGTTGCGACTCACTCATTAATTTCTTTATTATAAATAGAAGCCCATGCAACTGCATCAAGAGCGTTGAACTACGTTTCGTAACTCATTGGCGTAACCGCCGGAAGATCATTTAGTTATTTTTTACCTATGCACGTCAAACTAAAAATGATGAAATGATTGTAAATGGTCCATGTGTTCGCATCTCAATAATAGTATAGCGTAGTTGCCAGGACTTTAACAAAAAGGATAAGAAAACACTTAAAAAAATCAAAAATTATTGATTTCAGTAGTGGCGAAGTGCAAATTTCTTTTATGAGGCCTGCCAGCTTATTAAAAAGAACTTCCTGTAGCATGAATGCAATTTCTGCATTTATTTTTATTTCCTGCATTTTTTCCCCAAACGAACAAGTTCTGGATTACATAAATTCCTGGATTACACTGCAAAATCGCCCATTTTCCCCCACAGCCTAGGCTATTCTAATATATGAATGTGAGACATGGATTCTTTCTAATGTAGATAAAGACAGACCATTAATATTCAAGGAAAAAGTCCTGGAAAATATGAAACCTGACGTAGTAAATATAACTTTGAGTTATGCAATAAGTAGAAAGAAATAGCTGAAGCCAAAGATAACTGCAATAAAAAATTAGACGCCTGAGGTGAACATTTTTTACACGACGCATTTTAATGACTAAATGAGGGACGATGTAGATGAGGATGCCAGGAATAAATGTGTTCCCAGTTAGCATCCAGCTGCAAGGAACAGGAACAACCAGTAGCACCACTGATGATTTTGGTAAAATAAACAAAACTATTTATGACCAAATGCTGATCGAATCAGTACCACAACAAATAATCGTGATATGTCCTTGGCTAAAGTTTGTCGTACAACCCTGTTAATGTCCATCTGATTGTTAAACAATGGCGTGTAATTGACAAAAATATGAATTAAATTATACTTTGTTGTGCAAGTTCCTTAACAAGTATATTAAAATAAAAAAATATTGATTATTTGCTTTTTTCCTTTATTCAGATAAAAATTTGTGATCCATTTATCAATATTTTTTATTATTTATTACAATTGAGTACCAACTATTATAAACAGGAAAATAAAATGTATGTGCATCAGAGATAAAAACAACCATATAAATAACGTGTGTCAAGAACTGGAGCAACATGCAAACCGCCATGAAAGTCATGAACTATTTAAAAAAGTTAAATATTTAGCCCGAGAGTTCAAGCCACAACTTCAAGCCATTCAAGCCATTCAAGACTCTAATGGAGAAGTAAAAACCGACATAGAGAGCATCACAGAGACCTGGAAAAATTACTGCTCAGAATTATACAAAGACACTTCAAAAGATGACGCATCAGTCTCAGAACACAAAAAACATGCAATCAGAGAGGCTGAACCAATCATTTTACGAGCAGAAGTAGAGAAACTTAAGTTTCTTAACCAACTAAGAAACATAAAAACTCCAGGAATCGATGGCACAACAGCGGAGACTCTAAAAGCAATAGGCGAAATTGGCGTAGATGTAATGCTGGATATGTGCAACATGATATGGATCAATTGCAGCAATTACAGAACCGTTGCCCTTATCCCTCATGCAAGCAAAATCCTGCTACATATAATCAATGAACGGCTAAAGAACTTTCTACTTCCAGAGATAGCCGAAGAACAATGTGGATTTGTACCAGGAAAGGGAACGCGTGAGCAAATACTCAACACCAGACAGATAGTAGAAAAAGCGAGAGAACATAACATACCAATGT